TGCTTGTTCACATCCAGGATGAAATGATGCACATGTAATAGCCGAATCTAAACACATACACGGTATAACCTCCCAAGGTCCCAGAAGAAACTTTAGTACACTGTTGACCATCTCTAATCCCACTTTTGCTTTCATTAGCTAGGAAACCTGAGATCGGGTGGACCTTTTATTTCTCTTGCCCTGTGTCTAGGTTCCCAGCAAACACACTTCCATGCTCAGCCCTCCATTAAACCCTTTTTGACTTGAGCATCCCCTGACATCCCAACTCTGAAGATAAGATTGTCACCCCTTTTTTGGAAACCACCTAAGTCTTCTTATGAAAATTCTAGTCATCCGTTTGTTACTAGTAAGCTATATGACAAGGTATGATCAGGCATACAGATTGTTGCCTTTTTTAGGGAGACCATATTATTTTCATAACTGGGATGTGAGAGAATGAACGTACTTTGCACAAGGCCAAAAATGGTTCAGCAGACGGCTGTAGCTGCAAGTGTTTTGGGTGGGAACATACAGGGCAAAAGAAATTCAGGGTCTACCCAGTCTCAGGTTTCATAGCTAATAAAAACAAAATTAGGATTTGAGATGGCTAATCTTGTATTTACATTTCTCTCCTTGACCAAATTATACATCATATACATCCATCTTGGACATGAACAAGCTAAAACACAGATGAGGCATACATTTTATCTCTGGATCATCTCCTGTAGTTAGTCTATATTGTGCAAGCCTCCTCTGCCTACTGGGGCTAACTGTTTCACCAAGAGCTGCCACTGCGGGCATGATTCTATGCATCACAAACTTCTGAGAGCTGAAGCTCACTCCATTAGAGGTCATGAAGTGTGCTTTAGGCCACAGAAGCTTATGACACCCTTGCTCTGTACTTTAGTTCTTACAGTGGATGGTTGCAGCTCTGGTTTCAGTCTGCTTACCTTTCCACTCATGAAAATATTTAGCTATGGGGACTATTCTGCTGTCATTTAGAGGTGCAAAACTCCCAGCCTGTTCACTAGCACTGTACAAGTGACATGTTTGGTCTGAAGTGCTTAGTGACTGATGGTCTTGAGATACTAAACTAAAGAAAACACAGTTTTTCATACACTTACACAGTGCAGGTGAAATTCAGGGTCCACCAAACCTCAGGTTTCATAGATAGTGAAGCCATAATTGGGATTTGAGATTGCTAATAATGTATTTATATATATATTTTTTTTTTAGGACTTTGAGATGTTATATGAAGCAACTGAAAATGAAGAAGTTTCTAAGTTCTTAAAGATGACATCAATAGACAAGACTATTAGAGAGGAAATTGCTATCTGACAGCTGGTTCTGGAACCAGGTTGCTTCAAATGCCAAATTTACTAAATATATTTATTCCTTTCTGGTTTCATTAATTATTCAGGGTAAATCTAATGATTTTTTTATTTTTAATATTACAGTATAGCTGGTGCAAGTCCTTTATGATAGAGTGGACACAAGAAAGCTAGAGGCCTTTAGCACATTGTACATCTTTCATTCCGAAAGTCAGTTTACAATGTTTTCCGTATTTTTTAAAAAACCTCTCAAATAAAATAATTCCTACTTGTCATCTTTAGATCTTTCTTAATTTTTTAATCTTAACACCACTAGGCCACCAAGAATGATCAGTGTACTGTCTAAACAGCTTTATTTCCCAAGACAGTTAAAAGCAAGTAATTAGTATTTTAAGTACCCATTGATTTTTAAGAAGTGGATTTTTCTTCAGATAGAACTTCCCTAGCCA